TAAAATTTGTATCATTTTGAGCTTCCATTTTAATCCTTTGCATACACGAAATAACCAGAAGGTTGGGAGACTAAACTCGCCGTTGAGAAAAGTCAGACATTGGGGGAGGGAGGACATGGTGTACCCAGAAGGCTACAAATCGACACCCTTGCCTGTGATTGTACCCATTACCTTGCTGGATGTTTTGGTACAGAGATAACCGTTTAGGAGGATTTAAGGTTGAGATAACTCGCAGGCCCAAAGGGTGATCTCTCCAAGGCTCCAAGCTGTCATCAGGCAGGCTAACAGCATACAAATCGCAGAGTATTCTTGAGATAGTTAGACGGGAAGCGGGCTTGGCAGTTTTGGTCGCTGTGAATGATGCATGATATTAAAGGCTTGCTGAAATAAGTTTAGGTAAGACATTTATTTGGAAAGCATGACTGCAACAAAACTTAGTACATGACCAAAACTGGCTAGACGATTGTTGATAAACAAAACATAAAGAAAGCTAGGCAGGCAGTATTGCAAAGATAAGCTATCGCCAACATTCAAAAACCTTTTTTTACACAACCCATAAGTCAGCGAAAAAAACTTCGTTTCCGACCTGGTTGGTAAATGTACTCCACCCTGAATACCCAAATTGAAATTCCACCTTGCTCGTACACCATGAGCCAAGCACTTCAAAATCCAAAAAGCAGAGGTGGATATCAAAAGCTTCCCGCAATATTAGAAGTCCAAATTCGAAATCAATGGGTGCGGACTGGTGCGGACTATCTCGATTCAACTCATATTGCTCTATAGCCTTGGTGCGGACCCTCTCAACGCAACTCAAAATTTGTGCACTGATAGACCATAGCCCGCGCAATTGAGAAGTAGAACAGCTAAGGTGAATGTCTAAAACTTCTCGAGATTTTACGGGTCCGATGACACTTAAACTTTTGGTTGAGCAAGCAATTTGTAACACGTACGCGACAACCATGCCATTTTGAAACCCAAAGACCACAGGTGGACATTCAAAATTTCCCGAGATATCTGTCCATATTCAAGGTAAGGAGTTGGGCTTAGAGACAAACTTTGCGGATCGACGTGGCGACGCTCGGAGCCAAACATGAGCGTACTGATTTCGCATGTCCTAAACATTTTTGTATACCCACCACACCGCGCGTAGTTTTGGAGGTTCAAGGTCAGGTTTGCCCGGTCAGCACTAAGCTATACTTGTTGTAAGTTGCACTTTGGTCTATAATATCTTAAAAGGCTTTACATGTACGGCTGTATGTGCATACCTTCTTTGAGACACGTTCTTAGCTCAATCGAAAGTATCCGTTCTTGTTGACCTCAAACTTTACTTTAAACATCTCGTAAGCCTGTGGGTGCCCACCTGAGCTTTTAGGCCTTTTAAATGTTTCGATTACGGCCTACGTGTTGTGAAAAAATTGAGCTCAATTAATATGGTACGCTCTATTTGAACTCGAAATCTGACCCATCATGTCTCGGATTGTTTAAGCCCACCCCGGTTTTTTTGGGGGGGGTTTTGAGATGCGTAAGCCAAGTTCTATCAGCCTACGTATTTTTTGGCCGG